CAGGGGATTCCAAGATGGACAGGAGCCTCCTGCTTGGGAACTTCCTTAGCACAGTGATTGAGCTCAAACTGCCACTTACCTTTTTTTTTCTGCCAGTATTCCATTTATTCACTTGACATTAAACAAATGAGTTAAGTACCCACTATGGGCTAAGACTGTGGCTGGTACTAAGAGTGCAGGAGGAAGGGGAAAGAGATGCAAGATGAATATGAACTGACTCTGCCTGGGGAAGCTCATAAACACAACACAAAGTGTTTGAAAGAACAGACGCAAAGAGCTGACACACAACAACACTGTAATTTGCTTGCAGGTGTCGGGAAAGCTTCTCAGAAAGGTTGATATTTGGTTGTCATGAAGAAAGAGTAGGAGTTGGCCAAGCTGAGAAAAGGGCCAGGGAAGTAAACAGTATACCAATGATTAAAAATGCGAACCCTGGGTTCAAATGTTAGCTTAATCATTTACCAGATTGTAAAACTTGAATTAAGTTCTTAATCTCTCTGAGCCTTAACGTTCTCATCCATAAAATGAAAATAATTCATTGTAATAGAGAATGAAGTCAGATGATAACTATAAAGTTCTTGGCGCAGTGCCAGTCCAAAGTAACCACCTGCAAATGTAGAATAGGTTATTCTTCAGCCTGTTTTTTCTTGTTGTTGTTGTTCTGGGTTGTTGTGAATGTGACAAAATGGCACCCTGAGAAAGCCCAACCTTCAGAGAAGCCCAGAATTCAAGGAGGCCTTGGCTCATGGATCTTCAACAGCCCTCTGGTCAGGCAGAACCAGGGTAGAATATTCTTGGATCTTGGTTTATAAAATATGCAGATAAGTTTCCTCCAATTCTCTTTTAATTTCTTTTGGCTGCAGGGCTTTACAGTGTGAGTCACACCCAGTGTATAACTCCAGATCCTAACGAGGAAGGACTGTGGTGCCAGCCACCCTGCCACCTCCATTCCCAGTGCGCTACCCACCAAGCGTCCACATCTTCCTCATACGGCAAAGCCACATGTTCCTCATGTTCTCTCTCTCTGCCCCACCTTGTAAAAAGAAAGAGGAGGAGGAGAAGGGGAGTTCCAGTTTAGTTTAAATAGAACTCAGGGGGAAATGACATTTGTTTTCACAAGGAGGAAATCAAGCCTTTTTCAGTTACCATATAAAGTTGTGCTAATGTTGGCTCAGCTACCCTTCATATGTTCAAACTGCAATGCCCTGAGGTGTGGAACTTCCCAGAGTGAAGGTCCTGGCTGCTTCTAAAGGGAGCAGCTGCTATAGAGGTGACAGGGAGCTCAGGACATAAGATGTTGTAGGCTAGGGGCCTGATAAAGGTCGCCAGCCATGGGAGCCAGGGTCTTCTGGAACTAGAAGACCTTTATCAGGCCCCTAGCCCCTCAGGAGAGCTGATGTGTGGCAGAATAGTTAACAAAACGGTCCATAGTGCAATTTCAATATATTTTACCTGCCATGCATTAGCCTCATATTGGGCAATATCAAGCCCTCAGAAGGGCTCCTTTGCCTAGCTGCCCTCAAGAGCCCATCAAGTAGAAAAGCACCTGTTAATTCTAGCTCTGCTTGCATGGGCTATCCTCTGTGAACAAGAAAAGGTGGCCTTAAAGAGCCCCATTTGAAGACTGTTGTTAACACTGAGACTAGACAGCCACCGGTCACATAGAGGAGAAGCAGGTCACTCTATCACCTGTTTAAAAAAAAAAAAAAAGCAGCACTCGAGTTGGGGAACTGCCCGATTTATCTTTAGAAAGAGGTGGTATATAAATAAATTCAGTACATCGCAGAAAGCTGAAGGAGATCCAACTGCTCAGAGTTAGGGAAGAAACTTTGAAAAAGGTCAAACCTACAATTTCCTATATTAAACTATCCCTGGGGCAAGAGAGAAGGGTCTTACAAGGAAATCAACTATATTCTTTCTTTTCTCCAACTCTTAAAAGGGTAGGGGATTAAATTAAAAGGTCAGTTTTAAAAATTGCTCCTAATTGCAATCACTGTATCTTTTTGAATCTTGAAATACTCTCATCACTTTACCTTGCAATAATAATCCTTGTTTCACAAGCTCCTAACAGAGCTGTTAAGAGGCTTCATTGAACTTTGAATTGTTCTAATTTCAGCACAGTTTGGAGGCCAAGAAGCTAAGTGCGGCCTTTCAAAGTAGGAGTGGAGCCTTTTCGTAATGGGAACTGACCTGAAACTTTTTCTGTTTGATCTGGTCTGCACATTTGAGCATTTAGTGTCATAATTCTATCTTTACAATAATAAAAAAGAGAAAAGAAATGTACCGATCATACTCTAAAGGATTCTAGGAGTGAGGAGACGGGCGTGTGAGTGTCCAGAAGTGTAGAAGCTCTGAAGTGGTCAATCGGACACATTAAGGCTGCCAGCCAGGGGAGCCAGGGTCTTCTGGAACTAGAAGACCTTTATCAGGCCCCTAGCCCCTCAGGAGAGCTGATGTGTGGCAGAATAGTTAACAAAACGGTCCATAGTGCAATTTCAATATATTTTACCTGCCATGCATTAGCCTCATATTGGGCAATATCAAGCCCTCAGAAGGGCCCCTTTGCCTAGCTGCCCTCAAGAGCCCATCAAGTAGAAAAGCACCTGTTAATTCTAGCTCTGCTTGCATGGGCTATCCTCTGTGAACAAGAAAAGGTGGCCTTAAAGAGCCCCATTTGAAGACTGTTGTTAACACTGAGACTAGACAGCCACCGGTCACATAGAGGAGAAGCAGGTCACTCTATCACCTGTTTAAAAAAAAAAAAAAGCAGCACTCGAGTTGGGGAACTGCCCGATTTATCTTTAGAAAGAGGTGGTATATAAATAAATTCAGTACATCGCAGAAAGCTGAAGGAGATCCAACTGCTCGGAGTTAGGGAAGAAACTTTGAAAAAGGTCAAACCTACAATTTCCTATATTAAACTATCCCTGGAGCAAGAGAGAAGGGTCTTACAAGGAAATCAACTATATTCTTTCTTTTCTCCAACTCTTAAAAGGGTAGGGGATTAAATTAAAAGGTCAGTTTTAAAAATTGCTCCTAATTGCAATCACTGTATCTTTTTGAATCTTGAAATACTCTCATCACTTTACCTTGCAATAATAATCCTTGTTTCACAAGCTCCTAACAGAGCTGTTAAGAGGCTTCATTGAACTTTGAATTGTTCTAATTTCAGCACAGTTTGGAGGCCAAGAAGCTAAGTGCGGCCTTTCAAAGTAGGAGTGGAGCCTTTTCGTAATGGGAACTGACCTGAAACTTTTTCTGTTTGATCTGGTCTGCACATTTGAGCATTTAGTGTCATAATTCTATCTTTACAATAATAAAAAAGAGAAAAGAAATGTACCGATCATACTCTAAAGGATTCTAGGAGTGAGGAGACGGGCGTGTGAGTGTCCAGAAGTGTAGAAGCTCTGAAGTGGTCAATCGGACACATTAAGCTATTATCTTAATCTCTATGTAAGCAATGAACCTACTTGCTTTCTTTTAGAAATTATAACCAGTTGGGGCATGGATCACTGACATAGCCTTCTCTCACCCAAAACTTCTGAGGAGTTACTAAAGAGTTAATTAGTAGACTGATTTGCTTCTTAGCTCTACTCTAATTCCTTTGGTGGAAGGGCTAATGACAAGAACAGTATACAAAAGCCATTCATAAGAGACGAGAAAAATAAAAAGAGGAATAGTAAAATAATCTACAAACGATAAATCTCCAAAAATGTGGGACAGATTCATCACCTTTGAGACATAGTCTATAAGAGACGGGCTCCAGTCCAGGGTGGTACATTTGGAGAGGACTTTAGCTTAATGCACATGGCATCGCATTTAATCCTCCAAAAATTGCGAGAGAGAGCAGAGCAGCTCTTCTTTCGTTACTGCAGGTGAGTGGTACACAAGTGGACATGGCTAAGTAAATAGCTCATGGTCACATAGCTGATCATGGTGGAACCACACTTGAATCCATACATTTGGACTCCAGACCACTGATGCTCCTTCCAGTGTGTTTCACAGTCTGGTTTATTTGTTGAAGTAGTAAATAATTTCTCTGTGGCCTGAAAGAATAAACGGGGTCCCTAACATCAGCATTAGTGCCAAAAAGCCACTTTAACTATAGGGGACAAGACCCTAATTGATTCTTGGCATTTCTAAGGTGAAATAAAACTGAAGTATATACATTAGTCCAAAGCTCGCACAAAAATACTGTTGTGCTTCAAAGTAGTAATCTTTGGAAGCAATAGGTTATTCTTAGATGGCTACATGCTCAAAGGGTTTTTTGGGTTTTTTTTTAACTGCCCATTAGTAGTTGCCTTTAGAACCAGATTTCAAACTATACAATAAAATATTCACATTACTTTATAATTGCACTGGGTTAATTCTACAAATAAAAACTACTGTTACCTACTAGACTTGACCTTATTTTTATACCAGACTTGATTTTATTCTCTACAAAATCAAATTTACCTTTCAAGAATGAAAACTGGACACAGTTCCCAATAAGGAATTTTAAAAATGCTTTGATTTGATGGCATCATTAAAATTAGAGCATCTCCTACCAAAATGGTTCTTTTGAAGTGGACAGTGCTTATATAGCTATATGATTCTAGTTTATTTGAAAACCAACCACATTACTTTGGAGTAACCCTTGAATAAAACATCCTGAGTCTCCCAATATTTTGCAAATGGTGAGAAGAGGAGCCAGAGCTTATAAAATAAGAAAATAAAATTGGGAGATTTTAAATCCCTTACTCCAGCAAACAGCAGCAGCAGAAATAGCTTGGTGTTATTATTTAAAAATAATCAAATATTATTGTAGACTGTTCTCTGATCTCCTGGCCAGCCAAACAGACTTAATAAATACTGGCCATTTACTGAACTTCATTTAGCGTGAAAAGAGCATTTTGGTAAAAAGAATTAAGACCCTGAGTTTTGTTCTAGCTCTGACTTCAGAAGGATCTGGAATGAATACACTCCCTCATCTTCTCTCCTTTGCCTTTCCTCCTTCACAGGCAGCATCGCTGCCATTACAGTGGCCGTCGTTGCCGTGGTGGTGCTGGTGTTTGGAGTTGCAGCGTATCTGAAGATCAGGTGAGAGGCACCTTACTCTTCTTTATGAAAAAAAGAATTCCATTTTGTTGGGTTCCAGGCTGAGAGCTGTTTTGCTGAGTGCTTATTTCTTAATAAGTATCTCAGCTCTCAGAAATATTGGCAGAGAAGTGAAAATGGCCAGTGTCCTCCACACTGGACGAGAATAGATGGTACAGTACCTGAACCTTGGCAAAGCAGAATAAATAAGCTGAAATACACAGCATGATTATGTAATGGAGTCCAGAGACTGAGGCCCTGGCTCTCTGCCTTTAATTCACCCCATCACCCTGAGGGAGCCACGACTCCTGACCTTCAAGCTGTCTCATCTGTGAAATGGGAGAGAGGGTGGGTTTGATGGTCCCTAAATACTGAAGTTCTGAACACTGATGTGTGGATGTGTACCAGCCTGTAAGGACATTCTCTCTGGCACTAGAGCAAACTGTTGAAAATATGAGGAAAGTGCAGCGTTTTCTATAAAATTGGTCCCCCCACCCCGAGATTATGTCCTTATAGCTTTGGTTTTAAAATATCTTTTGTTATGAAATGAAGGTGATCACAGATGGTAGCTGAGTTTTCACTTCTTTTTATTTTAGCCAAATAGAAAGTTGCAGTACTCTGTGAGCTTCCACTTTTGTCTACCGCTCTGTGAAATCCCAGTCTCAAAATCACATTACTCACACTGAATGTCCTTCCGGCTGTAAAATACCAAATGGCAAGTGACAGTCTTATTTGCCAGTCTGTGCAGTTCACATAAAAAGAGGCAGAAGGACATGTGCTGCCATGATGAGCACAGCCACTCCCTGACCTCTAACACGTTTGCCTCCCGACAGCAGGAGCCCTTTACGGAAGCTCCTCTGACCCCCTCACTCCCTCCCTTAAAAGCCCCCAGTGGCTTCCCCAGGCACTTAGAATCGAATCCTAACTCCTTCCAAGCTCATTCATGGACCCATCCCTGCCTACCTCTTCTCTCTCATCACATCTGTCTCTCTTTCTTAACTACTGGGCTGCAGTCATGCAGGTTTTCTAGCCGATTTTTAGAATACACCAGGCTCTTTTTCTCTCCAGGCCCTTGGCTCTTCTTGGTCCCTCTCCCTGAAATGCTTTGCTTCTAACTCTTCCTCATATATGGCTTTCACATCACATCCTCCAGAAGACTTGCCTTCCAGTTTGATGCCCATTATTTATTTTCTTACTTTTATCCTGCCTGTTACCTGTCTATTTTATATATATATTTGTTTGTTTATGTTCCTTTTCCTGACAAATATGTAAGTTCCATGAGAGCCCAGACTTTATCTGTGAGCACAACAAAGATGCTCGATAAATCGAATGAGTGAACAACAGGGCATAAGGCTACGCAGTCACACACGTACGCTCCTGACTTCTCTTCCCCATAGCTGTTCTTCTTCCTCAAGAGGGTGTGCACACCCTGTCCTTCCCTCCTGTCCTCGTTCCCCAGGTGTAGCTCGTGTATTTAGTTTCTCATCTTTATGCACACATCCCCTTTGCTGCCCTCTCTCCTCACCCTCTTTCATCTCCTCTAGTCACCCCAGCCCACTCCAACGCCCACTAGGGAACTTTTCCTTCCTCCCTCCCTTTTATCTCCCTCCATCTTTTGTTCTAAATGTGCACCAAATCAATCTAATGTCGGTGTCAAGTATAAGAATGCCCTGCAATATCACCTGCATCTAAGGTTCAAAGAATAGGAAAAACAGGTTTTGAAGAGAAATTGGAATTAAAGGGCCAGTGCTACCTGTGTTTAAAAGCCTTTATAAAAGCATCATTAGGTCTCCTTCCTATTTTAAAAAAATCTCTTCGTTAAGTCTATATTTCCTTGAGCAGCAAACTTAATTTTATGAATTATATCTTACTGAATGGCACTCTTTTTCATTGGTTTAATTACTAGTTTATCACTGCAGATATATTGTATTTTTATTATGAGTTAAATTGGCTTTTACAAACTAGTCTTGGAACCTCATTCGCACTTTGTAACGAAATTTTTCTTTGCATTGGGCCCCCCCGCCAAAAAAGGGATTTACGGATTAACTTAGAGTCATTTTGGACTCACCAGTGGTGAGTTTCGGAAGGGCTGTGTCACCAAAAATGTTACCTCCACTGGAAAGAAGGAAGAAATAGAAATTCTTTCTTCTTGCCACACACTCGCCAAAAATAATGTCGAAAAACCTAAGGATTCTCCCTCTTGATTTCAGACAAGAATTCACATTTACCATCTCGAACCTGCCATTGACTATAGACAGGCAGTCTAGAACAGTGATTAATAGTTCAGACTCCACAGCAGAGAGACCTCAGTTCGAATCCCAGCTCTACCACTTTGTAGCAGGTGCTAGTGTGACCCGAGCATGTGACGCAGCTTCACTAACCCTCACTTCCCTCCCTTGTAAAATAAGGGCGAAAATTTTAACTACTCAGTAGCATTGCTAGGAGATTAATAGACACTGCTTCGCAAGTACATATCCCTGCCATCATAATCATCATCATCATTGTCATCATCATATTATCAAAGTGGTCAACTGGAAGTGACCCCAACAGTAGGACAGTTGCTTAATGATAGTGAGTGTTAGCCGTGTGCCAGGTACTCTTCTAAGCGTGGGGTTCACATCAGTAATGAGACACAGTCCTGCCATCACAGAACTTACTGTGCTTGGAAAATTTTATTAGTAGGCTATTAAAATTGATTCTAATAAGTGCTGATTAAAATGAAATAATATTTTATTTTAAAAATGTAAAGCATATTTTCTTCAGGCATTCTCAACATTGTATAAATTCGATGAGTGATTAAATTGAACGGGTCATAGTTTCTCCCTCCCATATATATCCTCCCTCTAAAATGTAGAAAGGCCCCCAGTGGTACAGATATAAGGCTACTATTTATCTTTGGCACTACAAACTTAAGGATGCATAAAGTGACCAAATCCCTGTTTAGAAACCCCCTAAGGAAAACCCCACTCTGCTGCTGTTATTTTGGCAAAATGATAACAAGTAGGTTCATAATTTTCATGAATCTTAAAGCTGTGCTAAACCCCTTCAAGTGTTATTTTGCCAGATTCTTGGAAAGTCCCACTAATCATTCATCAAATACGTTTGGCTCAATTGACAATTGTGTGTGTGTGTGTGTGTGTGTGTGTGTGTGTGTGTGTGTGTGTGTGTGTACTTAAGGCTGAGTTTTGCCTTGGATGGAAATTTATTTCATTCCTGTCATCCCAGATTTCTGAGAACAATGACATAACAAGAAGTCTGTTGTCTGTGGTCCTGTAGCTCACTTGGCTAGAGTAGCAGCTGACTGAAATCACAGGCCATGAGAGAGCCATTAGCATCTGGCCTGAAACCCTGGGCTACATCCCTACTAACGTAAAAGAAAGGTCCACTTAAAAAGCACAGCCTTGCAACCAGAAAAAGGGCATGATTTGTAAGCTCTGCTAACAGTAGCTCAGTAGTTTCACTTTCTTCCCAAGCTCTAATTCCCTCCGAAGGCATTGGTAAACATTAGGCATCTGTTTTTAACACTCCTATTCTTTGGGGACCATGACCCCTAGTTTTATCACAGTGTCCCCTGCCTGGAGAACCATATCTTTCTGAGATCTAAGCCACTTTTGATGTTGCTTCTAGAAATGAATTGCCCTGGGTTCTCCTCTATTATCGGTGGGTCCCCCATTTTAGCCAGCAGCAGTGTGGTGTGGAAGGAGGAACATGGGCTTTGTGGTCAAGTTCCACTTACTATTTAGGTGGCCTCGGGCAAATTACAATCACCCCGGTCTTTAATTTCTTTACCTGCAAAAATAGAGCTAATCATACCTATCTTTCCAGTTCATTTTGAAACTGATGTAATGAGTGGAGAGTATGTGGAGGAAATAGACTGCATACTGGTTAAGGACATGTACTCTGGAACAAGTTTATTAATCATTCTGTGCATAGTTTCTCCGTTTGTAAAATGGGACTATACTAATACCTAACTCAGGATTGTTATGAGGATTAAGTATGATACAGATAAACCTTCAGTGACAGGTGCTAGAGGAGGGCGATGGAAGCATTAACTACTGCTATTATTGTAACCATTCTTATTAAAATGATGCTTACTTCTTAGGTACTCAGAAAAACGGTGGCTGCAAAAAGTCCCATCCAGTAGGCATCAAAGATTCAAAGGAGAGGGGAATCCTAGAAGGAGAAAGATGGCACTGCAGCTCAGTTTTCTAATGTTCCATTTGCGCAGTTTCAATTGTGCTTTTTCAAAAGGCCTGTGAAGTTGCATCCATGTTATATGTTCATAAAGAGAAACGATCTCTGAGCAGTATTTATTCCAGGGCTTATGTGAAACTTTAAAAGAAAGCAAAGCCTTGCCTGCCTCTTGCAGAAAGGTGTCTTTAATTAGTTGTGATTGAAGAATGAGGTAAGTCAGTTTTGTTTTGTTTAAATTGGCTCAAAACCATTCAGCCACGAGATAATCTCCTGTGCAGGAGACCGTATCTGCAATCACCAGTAACATGGATGCTGCTATAATTAGGTGTGCTAGTAACCCAGACAGACAACACGGCTGTTCCCTTCACAAAAATAAATGTGATATTGATTTATAGACACTACAGGGCCTGGGTCTGAAGGCATCTTGTTAGAAGTCACATGTTTTGCTTTAAGTCTTCTAGTGATTATATTTTATAGAACTAGATTCCTTCTGGTTTTTGTTAGGTTTAAAGAGTAGGCCCAGCCAGCCATAAAGGCTAAGATCTTCTAGAATTTGTGATCTACAGGTTGACTTTTTTAGATCAGCTTTTGGCATTCTGCAGGTCTACCTCACTGGTCCTCAACCTTTAATGTGTATGGGAATCAATGGGAGAGCTTATTAAAAATACAGTTTCCTAGGTCTCATCCTCATCAGATCTGCTTCAGTAGGTCGGGATGGGGCCCGTGCATCGGCATTTCTCACCAGCTCACAGGTGATACCAACACTGCTGGTCCAAGAGCAAACACCTGAGTAACCCTGCTCTGCTCTC